GAGCCCGCTTGGCTAGGGAGTCCACGCACGAGGTCATCGACCCTCCTCCTCCTCCTCCTCCTCCTCCTCCTCCTCCTCCTCCTCCTCTTTCTCCTCCTCCTCCTCCTTCTCCTCCTCCGTAGCCCTTTTGGCTCAAGATGCCTAGCAGGGGGGGGGGCTCCGCGCCTCCGTGCCAAAACGGATAGCTCTAGTCCGAGCCATACCCCGATCCTTTCAGGGCCACGTTCCCCCCGACAGACACTGCTGTTCGGTACAAGCCCTTGCTGTCTGCCACATCACACCATGGGTTTCTCGAATGGGTGCAGGCAGCCATTCACGGTGTGCGGGTGCGGGCAGTGGGCGTTCAACTTCAGGATCGAACGCAACAATGGGAAGTGCATCAAATGCGGAGCCAAGCTACAACTGTACAAGCCGCAGGGAGGACAATCTGCTGCCATCGACGTCGCTGCGGGATCGCCGTGGCGTGAGGGCAGGCAGCATGGCCGTCGCTGGGGCGGCAACGGAGGCAGCAGTGGGACCACCCAGCAGAGCGTTGCAGAGCAGCTCAAGAAGGCGCTGGAGCTCTGTGCCGCCATCCTCCCTGACGATGCAGTGGAGCAGGCCAAGAAGAACCTTGCAGCCAAGACCGAGACGGAGGCCAAGACGAGGACTCCGTCGCATCAGGTCCAGTCCACGGCCGCCATCCTTGAGCAGAAGGAGGCGGCGCTCCAGAAGGCCGCCGACGCGCTCGTCAAGGCCGAGTACGCCACCAGGAAGGCTAAGGAGGCACACGTCTTGGCGTGCACAGAGAGAATCAAGGCAAAGAAGGACCATGAGGATGCGGTCCAGTCGCTGGCCTCGACCGTGCACAGGCGCCCAGCGGACGACGCCACCACCAGCGACGGCAAGAAGGTCACCTTCACGTTCGACATGTCCCTCCTCAACGAGGGCCTCGACCAGCTCGACGAGGAGAAGGGGAGGGAGTTGGAGGGCCACCGTGCAGCCCTCGACACCGCTTACCAGGCCATGGTCGCCGAGGACGCCAAGGTCAGGGAGATGTGGGCCAAGATCGAGGAGATCAAGGCATGCCCGCACAAGCGGGCGCGGGTCGAGGCCGCCAGCGCGGCTGAGGCCCCAGCGCAGCAGGTTGCCCAGGAGCAGCCTGATGTCGCCATGGCGGGCGACGAGGAGCAGGCGGTCGAGAGCATCGCTGTCCCTGGCCTGGACAAGACTGACCCCGAGCTGCTCGCGGCCACCCTCGAGCAGTCCATCGCCGACGCGCGCAGCCGCCTGCCAGCCTGGCCCCCGCCGCCCAGCGGCAGCGGCGCAGCGGCCCCCTCTGGCGGTCCAGGCCCCGCTGCGGCGGCAGCGGCCACCAGCGGCGCCAGCGGCGGCCCGCCCCTGGCTGCGGCCGCTCCTGCTCCTGCTGCTGGCGGCGCTGGCAGAGCTGCCAAGCCGCGCGGCGGGAGCCGAGCGGCCTCCAAGGGGCCCCAGCGGGGAGGGCGGTCGTCTCCCTAGCGGGGACGAGGCCGACGGAGGCGCAGGAGCCCAGGCTGCGGACGCTCTGAGACAGGAGGCAGCCAGCACGCAGTGCGCCAAGAGGCAGCGCTGCACGGACGCGACAGTATTCTTCAGCAACATCACGAAGTGGGGCCCGCAGGCGAGAGGCTTCATGCGGGCCCAGGCCGAGAGCTACGACATCATCGGCCTGGTCGAGACACATGCTAGTGACGACGTGACAAGCAAGGCGCGTTGTGAATTGTCACGAGACGGATGGAAGCTACTTGGCACACCAGCGAGATTGACGGGACGCTCTGCGACGGGCTCATCTGGAGGCGAGTGGATCTTGGCCAAGAAGCAGATACAGACAACTTCATTCGAGGCATGGAGAGAAACAGGCAGAAACAAATCTGGCCAGGACCCGTTCGAGGGGTTCTGCCCGACGTGTTGGCACCTCAAGTCGGGAAACATCGTGATCGTCAGTGCCTATCTCCTCCCGCAGCTCGGGTTCAAGGAGGCCAACCAGCGGACCCTGGTAAGGCTCGGTGCCTTCCTCCGCCAGCTGCGTGACCCCTGGGTGGTCTTGGGCGACTGGAACATCACGCCAGACGAATGGGATAAGACACAATGGATCATGAAGCTCAACGCGGAGAGGCTGCTGGTGGAGAACTGCACCGCCACGTGCAACAGGGGCTCGGGCAGCGCCATCGACTATGCCCTCGTCTCGAAAGGTACGACAGGCCACCTGAAGCTGCAGGCGGTCGAGGAGGTCCCTTGGAAGGATCACATAGGCCTGAAGCTCACGATAAAGGACGGCAAGCAGAGGTGGTGGCACAGGAAGCTGGACATCGCGCACGAGCTCCCCACGGTCCCGCGGCCCAAGAAGCAGGCCGACCCGAACAGCAAGAGGCAGAAGGGCATTCAGAAGGCCAAGGAGGAGAGGCGCGACAGGCTCCACGAGCACCTGCAGGCCGCCTTTGACGAGATGCACGATGATCTCGACGAAGATGATGACACCAGGGAGGCTGCACCCACCACGGCCTTCAACATCCCAGTGCAAGTATGGGAAGAAGCGAGTGTAGCAGTTGAAGCCAGAGGACTGACCCCAGGAGTGACAGCCTGGCAGAGACCAGCCGCCCCACCGACAGCAACATCGAGATGCAAACAGAGCAAGTACCACCTCTTGCTGATGAGGGATCCACAGGGCCAGCAGAAGATCGACAGCCATTTCGCGAGGTGGATCACGACCCTGGAGCTTGCGACCCTCCAGCACCACGGGATCGACACAGACAAACAGGACGCCTACATGGGCAGAGGAAGAGGATATGCCATCAAGTGGGTCAGGACCTCGGCCACGCCGGCGCGAGCGCACCTCCGAGACCCACACCTCGAGTGGTGGCACATTGCGGTGACGCTCCTCAAGCGCTACGAGATGCTCAGGCGCACCGACAGGATCATAGAGGCCGCCAGCTGCAACGGCAAGATAGTCGAGATCATGCAGAAGGCCGAGGAGATGCAGATCCACGAGGTGTTCAACAAGGACGACGGCGAGGAGTTCAGAAACTGGAAGGCCATGATGGGGACGCTGCAGGACATCCCCGTCGAGGATGTGATCCCCGTCATCGAGACCAGCGAGAGGTACCAAGGGAGGGCCGTCGGGCAGGCACTCACCAAGTCGAGGAAGGCCTACCAGAGCTGGGCAATCAAGATGTGGAATGAAGCTCCGCGGCACCTCCACAACATGGTCAAGGATCCGAGACCTGAGACAGTTGAGAAGATCCAGCAAGGGAGATCCGTGGCGGACCCTGACCAGATCATGAGCAACCGAGCTGACGAATGGGAAAAGCATTGGGCCGACCCCAGCGTGACCCCCGACCAGATCCTCGACGGCATCCACATGGTCATGGGCCGCGCCTGGCAGCAACCCTTGGCCCCGCTCCAGCTGCAGCAGCTGGACCGCCTTCTCCCCGCCATCACAGCCACCAAGGCCAAAGGGATCGACAACATCGGGCCAATGGAGGTGCAAAGGCTCCCGACTGAGGGGAGGCAAGGAATGATCGACCTCCTCAATGACATCGAGGAGGTCGGAGCGTGGCCAAGGCAGATGCTCGCGACCATCGGATCTGTTGTGCCCAAAGAAAAGGGAGGGGGCGACAGGATCCTAGGCCAGCTCCCGTTCGTCATGAAGACGTGGAGCAAGCTCAGGGGCAGCATCACGAGCGAGTGGAGCGTCAATCTGAGCGAGTTCTGGGACACAGCAATACGAGGCTCGTCGGCCCTACGGGCCAGCATCCTTCGAGCCACTCTTGACGAATCAGCGAAAGAAATGGGAATAACCACGGCCACTCTACTGTTAGACCTGGCCAAGTTCTACGACAGCATCAGCGTGGTCAAGCTTGTGCAGCACGCGCTGGAGCAAGGATACCCGCCCATCGTGCTCTGCCTTGAGGTTCAGATGCACCTGGCGCCGAGGCTGCTGAAGGAGCGGCAGTGGGTCAGCAGGGAGGTCCAGCCGTGGCGCTCCATCCTGGCTGGCTCTCCAGAGGGTGTACGGCTGGGCAAGGCCTTCATGGGGCCCATCCTCCACCGTGCGCAGCTCACGAAGCAGGCGGACATAGGCCTCTGGACGTTCGTAGACGACACGGTCCTGCGCTCCCAAGGCACCGAGGCCAACGTGGAGAAGCAGCTGATCGACAACGGCGCCATGCTGGGCGAGTGCCTCAAAGAGGCGGGCCTCACGGTCCCCCCGAAGACCACGGTGATAGCAAGCTCTCCGAAGCTGGCCATCGCCATTGCAAAAGGCCTCCAGCAACGCGGCATACCCGCCAAGGCTGAGGGCAACTTCACTGACCTGGGCGTGGACTGCAACGCCGCGAGCATGCGCACACGACGCAAAGGCAGACAGAGAATGCAAAAGGCCGCCAGGCGAGCCCACGCCATCAGGAGGATGCGCAGGATGGCAAGGCTCAAAGTAGTGACCAAGGGCCTCTGGACGACAGGAGCTCGAGCACAGGGCACCTACGGCCACCAGGTGCAGGGCCTGCCGCATTACGAGATCCTCAGGCTGAGGAGGCAGGCGGCGCAGGCGGCAGCAAGGCGCGGGCCAGGGGGGTGCCTCACCAGCACCCTCGCCATGCTCTACGGCAGAGGTGATCCAGCCAAGAGCATCCCGCGAGAGCAGCTGGCGGCCTGGCTGGACCAGTGGTTCGCCCACCCCGAGCTGCACGCCAGGATCGCCAAGGCCTGGCAACTGTCGCTCAGGAGGCTCCGTCTGGCGGGTGAGAGCCGCTGGAGGAGAGTGCGTGGGCCAATATCGGCCACAGTGGCGACCCTCCTTGATGCAGGATGGGACCCTGTCGACCACGACTTCTGGGTCACGGACGAGGACGTGGGCCGGCGGTTCCCCAGCCCCGACCAGCCGAGCTTCGCGGAGGCGGCGGCGGACTACGTGGAGCTGCTCCTGGACTTCGAGCGGTCCATCGACAGGAAGCTCTGGAAGCAGGCAGCGCTGCACCAGGGAT